CTAGGGTTTTTCATTGTTCGGTTTTGTTCTAGCTAATTGGTGGTAGAGTCTCTTTGACTTTTTCAACCTGGCTGGCTTTGTACTTTTGCTATCAAATCTCAGCCCTCCTGAGTAGCTAGAATTACTGGTGTGAACCATCAATCAGTACATGGCTTCATTTCAGTTTGATACATGAAGTCCATATTACTTTAGATATTCAACACCTTCACTACAGTCTGTGGAAATGCTAGGTTAAACTTGAGCTTCCTGCTCCTTTGGCCAATAGTCTTTCCACTGAAACACAGTAGGAATAGCAATAGTTTGGGCTTGGAGCTTCTGCTTCCTAAAAAGCACACCCCGCTTCATCCTTTATAGCCACCTCTTTTATAACCAAAGCTTGCCTTAAGCAGTCAGTCAATAGTACAAGAGACATAAATACAAACATGAGGGCTGGGAAGGTGGCTCAGTGGTAGAGTGCTTGCCTCACATGCATGAGGCCCTGGGTTTGATTCCTCAGCACCACATAAGCAGAAAAAGCCGGAAGTGGCGCTGTGACTCAAGTGGTAGAGCGCTAGCCTTGAGCTGAAGAGCTGAGGAACAGCGCCCAGGCCCCGAGTTCAGGCCCCACGACCGACCAAAAACAAAAGTATAAACATGAGTCACTTTCCCTTTTGAGCCTTGATTTCTCCATCCATAAAATGAGGATTCAAAGTTAGGGGGTGGGGGGAGGGAGTTTTAGGTTACATTCTCTCTCATTAAAGAGATAATGCCAAGTAAAGAGCAGCTCATACCCTTCCTGATCCCCTGAAAAACACAGAACTTAACTCTCTTCTCCCTCCTTCCCTTCCCTCTGCTTCTTCCCTTCTTCCTGTGTCCTTTTGTCTTTGTGTCTCTCTTTTTCTGTCTCTCTCTTCTCCCCTCCCTTATTCTCTCTCTTACCTTCTCTCTCTCTTCCTCTCCCTCTCCCTCTCCCTCTCTCTCTCTCTCTCCCTCTCCCTCCCCCCCCTCTCTCTCTCCTCTCTCTCTCCTCTTTTCTATATGTAGGCCTATCATTCTCTCCCCCTCACCAAAAAAGCCCTCCAAGCCCAGCCTGGTCCTCTAACTGATTTCAGATGTGTCTCTGGAACAGTTCTACAGTTACAACCGAGACAGGCAGGAAGTGCATGGCCTTGTGACTTTTGACCCCAGTCTGTGAGGTTGACATCTTCCTCTTGGCACCCCTCCCTCCCTGCCTTGCACACACCTCGAGCTGGGTGGCCCAAGGTCTCTGCCATCCTGAGGCTTCCACTGACAAACCTGGTTACTGAACCAACACAAATAGAAACGACTTTTAAGGAGCAAACATTGACCTGGGACTATTACTATGATGCCTGTGTCCCTGGGGTTTGATCCTCAATGTGTGACCTATGGATAATTTCACCCCGTGTGATAGGTAAGGAGCCTGAAGTTCAGAGAGGGTCAAATGACTTCCAAAGAATACTCAAACTGTAGATGGAGAATGCGAAAATTCTGTCTAGAATTTATCATTGAAGACTAGGCTAGGGGTATAGCTCAGTGGTAAAGAACTAGCCTAGCATTTGCAGGGATCTGGGTTCAATCCCAAGCACTGAAAAAAAAAAAGTAAATTAACACCGAAGGCTACTTCCCAGCACAGTGCTATTCATCAACAGCATCATAGATACCTCTCTGCTTGGCCAAGCAGAGAGCAGACCCTGGATCCTCTGATGGAGACATCACATGGCAGAAACGTCATGAAAATCTAAGTGGCCAACTGGAAAACAGAGTTAAACATATTCAGTTTATCCTGGGCCTTCAGGATCCATTACATGTTCCATTCACCACAAGCCTCTCTATGTAACTCTCACCTGAAATACATCTTCTTTTCAAAGTCCAATAAATAATGTGTACTCTTATACAAGTGTTGTATATGGTCTTTATACCAATCTGCAACTCCCAGACCTTCCTCACATGTGACTCCCTGTAATCACTGAGATAACTTCGTAAAAGCAGCTTAGTCTGCAAAGTGTTCCTCATTGTATTGATGGAGAAAACAAGTGAGAAATGAGATCCTTTCCCTTCCTTTCCCCTCCTTTTCCCACTCTTCCCTACTTTATTCTTCCCTTCCCTACTCTACTCTTCCCTTCCTTACCTTCTTCTTCTCTTCCCTTCCCCACCTCTCCCCTCTCTTTCAGCCTTTCTGCTCCTCTTCTCTCCCCTCTATTTCCTTTGCCTCCCCTCTCTTCTTCTCTTCCTGTCCCTCTCCTCCTTCCTTCCCCCCTCATGTTTTTTCTTTCTTTTCTTTTATTCACTTTCTTTTTTCTTTTCTTTGTTCCTATCTCTCACTCACTCACTTGCCTGCATGCTTGCTTGCTTCCTTCTCTCCCACCTCAGCCTTCAGTGTGCTGAAGTTTTAAGTGGGCACTATTTCCAGCTCTTGCGTTTCTTGCTGATTCTTTCCCCACATTTTCTAAGAACTCTCAATGATAACTTTGGAGATCGTTTACTTTTCATCTCCATCCACGTTCAACCTGTAAGGAAGGTGATAGTCTCCCTGTCACAATACCTGTTGCAGAGAGCTAAAGAAACTTCAATGAGGTAAAGGACTTACACAAGGCACAGAAGCATAACAGGAATATGAGCCTAAATTTGGCCACTTGCAAGACCAATCTCCTTTCTCTGCTACTTTTCCCTCCCTTTACACTAAGAAGTTTTGACTCATGGGAGCTTTTATATAAACAATCTTTAAGGCATGAGATTATGAAGTCTCAAAGCTGACAGGGTCCAGGTAGATTTGTAAGCTTAGACCCCCCCAAACCAATGTAGAGCTGTTTAGCAGAGCTAAAGCAGAAAAATGTCAGTGGAGAGCAAGAAGTACAACTTTCAGAGTACGATTATAGGCTTAGCTCTTTTCATTTTTAAATCTATGATTTTGGTCAAATTGCCTAGACTTTACCTTTACTTTCCTGTCCTGACAGACGAAAGTAATGAAGGCAATTATTTTAAGATTTCATGAGACAGAAAAATCTATGAGGTGGCACTACCTCAGTCACACTGGGATTCAGCGTGTGTGTGTGTGTGTGTGTGTGTATACAACATTTATATCTGCAGATTTGTGGCTAAAGAGAGTAGCCAACAATGGTTTCATGAATAAGATATAGAATCAGACAACACAAAGCCAGTCTTAGTCATTATTGTGTAATTCCCTTAAGTATAAAATAAAGATAGCAATGGCACCTATCATTAAAGAGTGCTTGGGAATGAATTGTGATAATGTAGGTCAAGCTGCTTTAGCTCAATGCTCGATATATATTAGGATCTTAGAATATATTCATTAGTTTGTACAAGTAGTTAATATGTATTGTCTAAGATGTACAACTAGTGAGAGTTCATTATTCTAAAATCTGATAATCATACCACTATGTACATTTTATAGCATGAGTTAAATAGAGGTACTGAGGAAGTAGGAAAGCAAATTGAATAGGACACTAGGACTTAGGGTCTATTTTTAAATTCTATTTTTATTATTATTTTTATTTTTTTGTTATTCATGGGGCTTGACCTCAGGGCCTGGGTGCTTTTCTCGTGCTTTTGTGCTCAAGGCTAGTGCTCTACCACTTTGAGTCACAGCACTACTTCCAGTTTTCTGGTGGTTAATTGGAGATAAGCATTTCACAGACTTTTCTTGCCAGGGCTGACTTTGAACTGTGATCCTCAGGTCTCAGCCTCCTACATAGCTAGGACTGCAGGCATGGTCTACAACACCCAACTTTAAAAAATTATTATTATTAATTTAAAAATTATCCTAAATAGTTGTAAAAAGGAGGTACCATATAGCAAAACAGTTTATGAATACAATGCATCAACATATCAACATGATGCATGTTGATCTTTGACTCACCCCCTTCCCTTATTTTTTCTCAATTTTGTGCATATACACTGAATTCTTATCCATAAGTGGGCGGGAAGGCATGACATGATCAGGCCACTCATATGCACAATCCTTCTTATTACTCTTAACCTGTAAGTCTTCTGGCCTTTGTGAAGCCTTCCCTGTTCCTTTCTTAGACTTTGCATGAATGACAGAACTCAGAGCTTCCCCCAGGTAAACAGAGGCTGCTCTATTAGAAAATCCATGTTCTTGGGTTGGACCTGCATCTACCAGGTCTGTATTTATCAGTTGTCTCCATCTAAAACACACAGGTCTACTTTCACCAAGAGAACATTGAGATACGTAGGACATTTTGGGGGCGTGGCTAGTAACTAATACAAGTCCCAGACTCCCTATCCTGGCCTGTAATATCCCCACAGACCCTCCAGCTCATCTCAACTTGCCCCAGTACACCAGCTGTCTATTCCTTCAACAGTCCAAGTTCCTTTTCTGCTCAAGGTCTTTGTCCTGACAGCTTTTCCTGCCTGGAGTGTTCTTGTCTCAATTCTTCCTTCTTAGAAGTTGATTTTCATCTCATTATTCAAGACCAGCTCAGACTTTACCTGCTGATTCAGAAAGGCCTTTATAGACTACCTTATCCAAAACCACCTTCACCCTACACTCTCATGTTTACCTTTCCTCTATCACGCTTACCACAATCTGATTCTTAGTTTACTTTTTGATTAATCTTATTCAAGCAGGGACCTTAACTTTCTTGTTTACCTCTATAACCTCAGCACTTAACAGACTGGGACGATTTGGATTCAAGCCCCAGTTTTGCTCTCAGTAATGATGAGTACAAGGAAAGATGTACAGTCTCTGCCTCCATGTCTTCATTGGTGAAATATGGGTGATAATAAGTCCCTGCCTTTTTGGCTTGCTTCATTGCAAATTAGGAGATTAAACACTGCCTCAAAGGCAGTGCTCAAAGTTTTAAAATTATTATTCTTTTTGAAATCATTCCCTGGCCGCTGACCCATCCCAGAGTCGTTTGGATTACTACTTTTCTGCCACGGTTTGGTGCTCTTCAGTTAACCCTCGGGGCCTCCTGTGAAGGTTCAGCCTGTCACTCTGTTTTCTTGCTGTGCTGCAGGTTCACTCTGTATGCTGTGGACACACGGGGGAGGCACTCTGAGCTCAGCACAGTGACCCTGAGGACGGCCTGTCCACTAGTGGATGACAACAAGGCAGAAGGTAGGTGACACGGTTTTATCCTGTGCTAAAGGTGAGGCTATCAGCTCCCTTTCTAGTCTCTGCCCCCCAGTAGTCATTAACCACAAAACACACCTGCATACTGGCAAAGGGAAAAGAACGTGGACAAACCAAGAAGGAGAGATATGTAGCTAAATTAAATCAAAGCCATGGAGGGGGAAAAAATGAGATTAATTGCCAACATTGTTGCCGGGGGGAAAGACTCGATTTTTATAGTTTCTCCACGTTCTGAGTGATAAGCAAAGATGACAATGATCAGAGGCCTTTGGCTTTGCCTTCTAGGTTAAGCTGGCAAATGAGTGGCATCTAGGAGACTATTTCATCTCTTTGCACCCATGCAGACATTACTAGTTGATCACAGCACACCCTTCTGCCATACCGTTACACAGTTTAGTGGTTAGCAGTCATAGTTATCACACAAGATTAAAGTTTTGTCGTACCTGGTCCATGAGGTTGTAAATATCAGGTAAGACCACCTGACAAACTACAACTCGTCATCTAGATCCACCACTAAATGATGCATCTGTATAGTTTCTTCACATTGATGGTAAGGTACTTACCATGTAAGTAAGTACCATGTAAGGTACTTCACAAGTCCTGGTGGAACAATTATTTCCAGAATTCTCTGATCCAGCCAGTGCAGTGGAAACAAGTTTACAAGCCCATGTTCTACATGGATAAGAAGCTTGAAAATCAATGCTGTATGTGGTAGTGGATGTGAGGAGACAGTGTGATACCAAGCCTCAAAGTTAAGAAGACTTGAGGCATTTTATTGTTAATTTTTATTATTGTTTTTATTTTCACATAACTCATATACTTACTTTAAAAAATAAGAAAAGTTAGAATGAAAAAATATCATAGAAAGTCAGTGCTTTTCCTTTCTTGATCCCAAGTGCCCCAGATTCTACTAGAGGTAACCATTGTTAATATTTGGGGACACAGATTTTGATCAGATGATGCTTCAAAGCTGGAAGAATGTGCTTTCTTCTCTTGAGGCTTTTAGCAGGAGTGACTGAAGGAGTAGGGATGGCCCTCAATGGTAAGAAAAAGAGTCTGCATGGTCTTTAAAAGTTTTGAGCAAGGACCTATCAGCCCTGATAATACGTACATACATAGAAATATGTAGGAAATACTTCAGATGGGTAATAGAGAAAGAACACTGAGATGAGCTGGCACAATTTGACAAAGTCTCAGCATTTGCTTGGAATTTTCTGTTAAGTCAGGAGCACAATAAGCCAATCATTAATTGAGTTTATAATGAACACGACATGTGTACAAAGGATCTGTGTGGAGTTCTTTGCATTTACATTTACATTTACTTCTGATCTTCAGTTATTAGATAGGGAAGGGGGACACACCAGTCAATGTCATAGTGAGGACGGCATTAAGACCTCTCTGTCTCCAAAGACCGCACAAGTGAGGTCCCGGCACAGCTCTGCCTTCCGTGTTTGCAAGTCATGCTTTGTTCTCACTGCTTCCCCGGTCAGTGATCTGTACTGCTTTCCTCTCAGAGATAGCTGACAAGATCTACAATCTGTACAATGGGTACACAAGCGGGAAGGAGCAACAGACTGCCTACAACACGCTGATGGAAGTCTCAGCCTCCATGCTTTTCCGAGTCCAACACCATTACAACTCTCACTATGAAAAGTTTGGTGACTTTGTCTGGAGGAGTGAGGATGAGCTAGGGCCCAGGTATGTGTTTCTGAAATGTGAGTAGAGAGGAAGACTTTTTGTTTTCTTTTTTATTTCCAGTTTATTCTACTGGACCCATTTACCTTATACTGACAGTGGGCTATATCCAATAAATAACTGGGTGCTGATAAGTATAGTTATGTCAGGGTTAAAGATAGGTGTTGAGCAGAGAAAAAGGCTTCTTACTGAAATATATATTTGAATAGAAAACATGGTATTACCAGGCACCAGTGGCTCACACTAGCTACTCAAGAGGCTAAGATCTGAGGGTCAAGGCTCAAAGCAATTCCAGGCAGGAAAGTCTATGAGACTCTTTACCTCTAATTAACTAGCAAAAGACAGGAAGTAGAGGTATAGCTCAAGTGGTAGAGCATTATTAAGGTTGAACAAAAATGCTAAGATAGTGGCCAAGGTTCTGAGTTCAAGCACCAAAAAAGAAAAAGAGAAAAGAAGAAAAAAGCACTGTATTATCTCATAAAGGGAAAACAAACTCACCCGTCCTTAAGAGAAAAGGAAACATAGTCATTGATAAAAATAAATATTAGTATAATCAAACAACAACAAAACCTGCACAGAACAAAATTGTCCCTCAATCTTATTGAAGCAAGAGATTTTCCCTGTACATAGCAGGGTTTTTTTTTCATTTTAATAAGAGAAATGTTAAAGGCACACCTCCCAATCACGGTATTCTTTTTAAATAATCTGAAGGATGGGAAGGGTAACACAGGAGAAAATCTAACCAACTTGCCCAAATGTGATTCATAGGGTCTGGGATCATCTTGAGCACTAACACCTCACATCCCTTCCCCTACTTCAGAAGAATCCCTTCTATATTTGGGTGAGTTCTATGTTTGCAAGAAATGAAGAATCTCCCTGTAGTTGTGGTTAGAGATAAGAAGGGAGAGGTCACAAGGTCACAGAGGCCATAGCCTGAAATCCTGAATGTTCTTCCAATAGGGTTAAGGAGTTTGGTTTATCTCTCTAGGGCAATAGCAAGTATTTTCAGTGTTTTTCACAGGCAAGTGATATAATCCTATCTTTAAGGGAAAAAAGCCGTCTGGAATCGATCAGAAAAAGCAAGGAGTAAAAAGTGCAGTAGTTGTGGCAAGAAGTGCATCTACCAACACTCCAAAGAGTCTCAGCCAAGGTAGCACAGGTCACCTTGAAGAGAACTGTGTCTCGCTGGGATACTCAGTGGGCAGGGGCTTCATGCTATAAAAGCTTCTAAATGACCCAGGCAAGGATTTTCTTTCTATTTTCTAAAAGAAGAAGTTCCTTGAGATTTTCCGAGGTTAAGTAAGATGCCCAGAGCTGCAAAGCATGGAACACAGAAGTTAATTGTGCACGAAACTCTCATCTTAATCCAGTAGAACTTTTGAGATGACCTAAGACTCTGAGGCTCCCAAGAGATGAGAGGAGTTTGATGAGAGCTTCATTGGAGGATTGGGCCTGTCTTATCAGTTTAGTTGTGTTCTGGACTTTCAACTTTCTCCCCTCCACTTGAAAGGTGGGTGCTATAGATAAAAGCTAGAAAGCGGTGGGCTGGCAGGCAGCAATAGAGACCCCTAAATGAAAGCCACTGTGTGAGTCCTCTGAGCTCCCATCTTGCTCCTGAATGGAAAAAGGCTTTCCACTTTATGGGGCATTTTTCACAGGGCTTAGGGAATTTAGGTGGAAGCTAAACCAGAACCCTACTCCTGACTCTGTCTTTACAACCTGCTAGGATCCTTTATGGACTTCCAGGACATAAATCTTCTAGAAAGGCCTTCTGGTCACCCACAGAGACAGAGCAACCTACTTGGTAATAAAGGACTATGATAACTCCCTAACCTGCCAGACCCCAGTTACTGCCCCCGCCTAGCCCCAACCCACGTAACCCAGTTTCCTTTTCCTTCTCTGAGATTTCTAGTATCCTGAGATTGTTCTGATATGCCACCCTGCCACATTAGCAAGAAGCAAAATTGCTGTATCCTAATCTGTCTGTCCTGCTGGCCCTGCTAATAAACCCATACAACTTTGGGCTCTGCTTCTTTCTAGTGCTCAGTCTTCTTATCTAAAAGGTAATCTAGATGAACTAGTGCCCTGATCCAGTTTCTGTTTCAGTCAGTGGAATCTTAAGTGAATCTTATACAGAATCTTATATGAATCTTATATAGAAACTAAGATCCATTTCTACTCTTTTTTTTTTTTGCCAGTCCTGGGACTTGAACTCAGGGCCTGGTTGCTGTCCCTGAGCCTCTTGTGCTCAAGGCTAGTGTTCTACCAATTGAGCCACAGCATCACTTCTGGCTTTTTCTGAGTGGCTAATTGAAGATAAGAGTTTCACGGACGGGCTGGGCAGGTGGCTCAGTGGTAGAGTGCTTGCCTTGCATGCATGAGGCCCTGGATTCGATTCCTCAGCACCACATAAGCAGAAAAAGCTGGAAGTGGCATTGTGGCTCAAGTAGTAGAGTGCTAAGCCTTGAGCTGAAGAGCTGAGTGACAATGACCAGGCCCAGAGTTCAGGCCTCACAAACGACATGGACTTTTCTGCAAGGGCTGTCTTTGAACCGCTGTCCTCAGCCACTCTCCTCAGCTCTCAGCCTTCTAAGTAGCTCGGATTACAGGCGTGAGCCACCAGCGCCTGGCTTTCCACCCATGTTTTAATTCTGCATCAAACTCGTAGGTTTCAGTGTTTTAGGCTGCTTGTGTGTTTACTTATTATCACCTCTCGTCCACCCCTACAACAATGTAACTCATTCATAATTTAGTAGTATTTTGTGTCCTATATTCACTCTGTGTGTGTGTGTGTGTGTGTGTGTGTGTGTGTGTGTGCTCGTACTGAACTTGGCTTTCCCCTTCCCCGACCCCCTGAACAGGGCTGGTACTCTACCATTTCACTCCACCTTTACTTCCTCCTATGTTCACTTTGAAACATAGATGTGAAATAAATATTTGCCTAATAACTGGATACAGGAGCAAATCTACAAATGTATGGTCCAGATGCTTCGTCATGTTGGTAGGAGCTAGCATCGAATAGCTGAGCCCCCACCTGCTGAGTCTTTTCTGGGTACCCCACCTCAGCCCCACCCCAGAGGTCTCTCTGAGTTCTCAAGGAACTATAGGTCACATTTATTAAATAATTGCAATCAGGAACTCTTACTATCTAACGAATTATAGAAAAAGGATAGTAGGGGGAAAACAAAGGAAGAGGTCACGATGCTCAACAGGAAATGGACACATTACCTTATTCATGTAACTGTAACCCCTGTGTACACTATTTTTACAATAAAAAAAATTTTACAAAAAAACTGTGATATACTTGAAACTATCCAACAACTTGAAGAGACCTCACTTTGTTAACTGACATGGATTCATTTGCTAATAATGTGCCACATCCTGTATTGTGGCTAGAAATCAAGGACTAGAGAAGGCAGATCAGGCCTTGTCATAACTCAACATTCAGTGAAACAGAGACCAGTCATTTGACAGTCATAGGGGAACATGTCACAAGATGCAGGCTATGAAAAGGAAAATGGAAAGATGCTTTTGAGCAATATTTCCCAAATAATAATAACATGGGTATTTTTTTTGGTCACAATTGGTATCTACACAGTGGTGTGGATTGGGCCCTGCATTTTGAACTTGTAACCTATGAGGCCAATGCTGCCGGTCCCTAAAACACCTGAGGTGATGTATTCTGATCTATAGGTGGCTAGAGGAACAAATCCAAGCATAGAGCTCAAAGGAAAAAGAAATCTCTGTACAAGATAAGAAGGTTAATGTGCAGAGACAAAGAATGAACAAGGATTCTTCCACGTGGAAAAGGGAGGATGTTTTCATTGGAAGAACACAGTAACAAACATGGGGTGAAGTAAGAATACATTTTAGACAGGGTCTTTAATTATCACTGGGGCAGTCAAGGTGAGAGAGGAAAGGAAAAGTCAGGTTGAAATGTTAGAAAGGGTCAGATCTTGACAGCTTTTCTAAATCCTGCTTGAATTTTTATCCTTTCTCTCAGAAGTCACGTGAAACAACCTCTCTCCATCCCCCCACCCCCACTTTTCATAGCAGTCCTAGAACTTGAACCTTGTGCTTGGGTTCTGTCCCTGAGCTTTCTTGCTGAAGGAAGAACCCACATGTAAAGAAGAGAGAGCAGGGCATTTCTCTAGAGCCTAGAGGTCAAGGTTCAAGACCTAGTTTTGCCACCAACTTACAGTTTGACCTTGGGGACCTTTGGCAAGTTCCATCCCCATTCTAGATTTCCTTGGGAACATAAAAGGGTTTAACTCCAGCCAGTTACTCACGGCACACAGCTGTAATCTTAACTACTCAGAAGGCTGAGATTTGTGGAACGTAGTTTAAAGCTAGCCCCAGGCAGGAAAGTCTCTGAGACTCTTATCTCCAATTAAGCACTAAAAGCTGCAAGTGGAGTTGTGGTTCAAGTGGAAGAACACTAGTCTTGATCATAAAAGTTGAGGGAAAGCCCCCAGGCCCTGAGTTCAAGCCCCAGGACTGGTACAAAAAAAAAAAACTAAATGAATAAAAGGTTTATCTCCAAAGTTCCTTCCAGCTGGGAAACCCAAGGAACCATAAATCCCCAAAGGTCTTAAAAACCAGAGAACAGAGACAACTTGAGTGTCATTTCACCTCCAGACCTGTACATCCTGTTTCTCCAAGATCTAGGTTGGCTCTGGAGATCAAGAATTTTTCCCTGGAGCATACTAAGGGCTAATATCATGGGAACTCTATTAAGATCCTCTTGGCTTTCACAATCACCAAACTTCCCAAATCTTTTCAACTGCTCTCTGAATCTAGAGTGACATACCCTCATAAAAGTTAGTGACAAAGGGCATCTCTTACCTCTGCCTAATAAATCTATCAGGCTAGCGTTCCCTAGAGCCTGGTTCTCATGACAACTATAGGTTACTGCAAACAGCTGCTCCAAGAAGGCCTGCTGACACCCAGCTGTCCCAGCCATACGGTTCCCATTAGAAGACTTGAAAAATAAAATAAAATAA